TAATTAGTGTTATAAATTACTTTACTTAATTACTTTAGGCTTTTCCTTTCTCTGCCCATTGAGTCATGCCTCACCCCATCCCTTGGACCTTTGGGGAGCAGTGGTGTCACCCCACTCATAGGGTGTCTCCTGGTGTGTCCCACATGCCCTCACCCTCTAGTGACACTTCTGTATACTGAGACTGTGGACTTTCAACTGGTGCCAGTAAGTGCTGGCTAAATCTTGACATCAGTACTCAGCCGGATTTTGGAAACCCTGACTGGAAAAATTTGACTACACCTCTCCCTCACAAAGAAAGGGAAGAATGATGCTAGACACTCTCAACTGGCATTTGTAGGTCTTAACTGAGCCCTAAGCATGGAGCTCTGCTGATTCCTGAAAGTGGCTATGGAGAATATTTCACTCTTCATCCTCCTTTAGTATGTAGCCAAGCTGGATTTTTCAGCAGAAGTACCAGATTTACTATTGTTGTGCTCAATAGGTCAGATCAAATATAAGCAATAAGCCTCATTTGCAAATATTAGAACTGTTGGGGGAAGGAATTCCACCCAATACTTCAGCCAGAAACCCAATGGCCCTTTATAATAATGGTTCCCCACCTATTCTTTAAGAACTGGTTCACATGTTATAGTCTATAACCTAGTTCCTCCCAGAAACTGGAACTGATACACTGATAACAATTATCTTAATTATATATGTTCAAATTCTAGCAGCATTTTCTTCCAAATTTTGTGTAATTTGGAAGCACTTTTTCTGGAAATAATGTGGACAATGTGAAATTATTTGCCCCACTCACACCCTGTAATTCCTACCAGATTTTTTTCCATGCTATAAAAATTGTGGTGTTGGCTATGAATGGCACAATTCACTGTAGAATACAAGAACTCTTTCTGGCTACATAGTGACTGTGTAGTGAGTTTACTTTAACTACTATTGTTCCAGCCTATGGAATCCTAGAATTTATGGTTTAGGGAGAGGGTGCTTTGAATTCTCTGCCAAATTAATAAAATGTCTAAACAAACTACAAATCTCAGGATTCTATAGGATATATCCTGTGGTAGAATCATAATGCTATCATTGTGGAGTGTGGGGCTCCAACAAGAAGAGATAGAATGGGAAAAGAAAGCCACAGTGTGCTGCCTGAGCATGATTTTGACTTCCCCTCCTGTGATCTTTGCTTTCCTTGCTACACATTTGTTGTTTTATCGAGGTCCTGATTCAATTTTATTCCCTTATATTTTTTACTCTCTTGCTCTTCTCCACAACATCCCACCTAATCTCTGTTGCAGTGTGCTTGCCCCCCTGCTTTATAAAACATAGGTAATGTGGCTTGAACACAAAAAGGGCTAATCTTGTTTTCTTCCTAATGTCCATGGTTTACTTTCAATGATGATATAAGAGCCAGTGTGGCATAGTGGTTTGAGTGTTTGTCTATGACTCTGGATACCAGGGTTTGATTCCCAGCTCACCCATGAAACCCATTGGGTAACCTTGGAAAAGTCACATCCTCTCAGCCTCAGGAGAAGGCAATGGCAAACCTTCTCTGAAGAAATATTGCTAAGAAAACCTCAAATCTTAGGGTTGCCATAAGTTGTAAACAACCTCTGTCTTCCTCTTCCCCCAGGGCAGAAAAAGGTTGGCAAGTAGAAGAAGAAGAGGGATCATGGCTTCCAATTCTTTCACCCCACTTGAGCAAATCTTGTGTGCCCCCAGTGGTCCTTTACCACATTTTGAGAACCACTGGTGTAGTCTTTTGTTGGTCCACTTGATCACATTGCATGTATCTGCACATTGACCTTCTTTCTAGGAGTCTCTGCAAATATTGTTTTGAAAGGAGTTCTGTTTTTCAGTAGTTCTGGCATTCTTCATGTGTTTTGGGACCCTCTTTTGGAATTGTTGGGAACTTATGTTGACTTTTCTTTCTTAATAGATCTAATTCTATTGTTTGGTAGTTGAAATGTTGGGCTAGGATTTATCCCAGCTTTTCTTTCTCATACCCCTGTTACTATTACCACTATTTCCATTTTGATCATGGATATGGAGGGAAATGCTAAATCTCCACTCCATGTGCATCATGGACTTCATGGAAATCAAGGACACCTCTATCTACTATAGGGTCACCCCTGTATCCATGAAGGTTCAGTTTCAGAACTTACCATGGATATTGATAATCATGGACAATAGAAATCCCTATTAAAATAAAAGACTTGTGGTAGAAATATACTCAGAGTATGAAGTTGGAGGACCTAGGGATTTACAGTGGAGACACCTCTCTAGGCATTTTACAGCATGACTCTATGTTATGTGTTCCTGATTTTTTAAGCCACAGATAACTGAAATTGCAGATATTGGTTCCAGAGTTATAGAGGTCACACTGTGTTGTTTTAAAAGTTAGTGCTAACCAGCAATTAAAGTAATTATTAATTCAACCCTCAGGACAAAATATGGAGATCTTGTTCCACCTCCCAACAGTATGTGATGTCCAACACTGTCTCTGAGAATGTCTATAAACTGAAGTGAAAATGAATGGAATCTAGTAGCTATGCACCCAATTAAAAGGGTGGATTCCCCTCAGTATCTCAAATTAATTTAATGTTGTTAGTATTTCTGAAAGTTTTTTTTGCTTTAGATTACTAATAAATAGTAAGGCAGCTTTTAAGGGATACATGAAATTTAAATTGGATTGCCTTAAAGTCCACATGTGTCTTGAAATGGGGGAAATAATTTGTCAAAAGACAGCCCATGGCATGTGTCAGACACTATAATAAAAACAAGAGCAGTAGGATAATTAAAGGCAAGGATGTTATTTCATCACAATTTCTTTCTTATGGTGTCTGATAGAGCTCCAAGAGTTCCAATGAGAGACCTGGGTATAAGATTATCAGTATGATTTGTA